CAAGGTACGCAACTATGCAGTCTGAGTGTCGACAGTGGGGTATCATGATCCCGTTCATGTATTCGGTGGTAGAGGCAGATAGTAACAATAACCAGGAGCGCGACTCATGGGCACCCACCCTGCATCCCGGAGGCAAATACTACCTCACCCGTAACACATCCTCCATCGTCGCATTCGCTATCGGCAACAAATGGAAGGCGGGCAACCCCATTGCCATGATCGGCGCCCACACCGACTCTCCTTGCCTGCGCATCAAGCCTGTATCCAAGCGAACGGGCGACGGCTTCATCCAAGTAGCCTGCGAGACATATGGTGGTGGACTATGGCATACCTGGTTTGACCGCGACCTCAGCATTGCAGGTCGCGCCATGGTGCGCACAAAGGACGGCAACATCGAGCAACGTCTGGTCAAGGTCGAGCGACCAATCCTGCGGATACCTACTTTGGCTATCCACTTGGATCGCCAGGAGAACTTCCAGTTCAACAAAGAGACCCAGCTGTTCCCCATTGCCGGTCTTGTCGCTGCAGAGCTGAACCGTCAAGGCAAAGGCGAAGAGACTAAGGAGGAAAGCAACGATGCGGAGACCGAAGGCCCCCTCGCTGCGCCCACCGCGAGGCACCACCCATACATAATCGACATCATCGCGGAGGAGGCCGGCGCTGAACCAAGCGACATCGTAGACTTCGAAATGGTCCTGTACGATACGCAAAAGTCGGTGATTGGCGGTCTGAACAACGAGCTTATTTTCTCTCCACGACTGGACAATCTTATGATGACGTATTGCAGCGTCGAGGGTCTTCTCAAGAGTCTGTCCGACTCGTCAGCACTGGAGAAGGATTCGACTATCCGATTGATCGCATGCTTCGATCACGAGGAGATTGGCTCCCAGACAGCACAGGGAGCAGACTCCAATCTGCTACCTGCTGTCATTCGCCGTCTCTCGGTATTGCCAGCGTCTGAGAGCAACTCCGACGCATCCTATGACAAGGTCGAAGCAGACACTGCTACGGCCTACGAGCAAACGCTTGCCACGTCTTTCTTGATCTCCGCCGATATGGCTCACTCAGTACACCCCAACTACCCAGCCAAGTACGAGGCTCAGCACAGGCCTGAGATGAACAAGGGAACTGTCATCAAGATCAACGCCAACGCGCGTTACGCCACCAACTCACCAGGTATCGTTCTGCTCCAAGAAGCAGCCCGCCGTGCCAAAGCGGCTTCTTACAACCCGAAGTCAGGAAAGGAGGGTGTTCCGCTCCAGCTCTTCGTTGTTCGTAACGACTCGTCGTGTGGAAGCACCATCGGGCCTATGCTGTCGGCGGCCATGGGCGCGCGTACTCTTGATCTGGGAAATCCTCAACTCAGCATGCACAGCATCCGTGAGACTGGTGGTGCGCATGATGTTGAGCACGCTGTGAACCTCTTTGACAGCTTCTTTGAGAACTTCGAGGAGCTTGAGAAGAAGATCATCGTGGACTGACTCGATCGATCAAAGCTATAATGAACATAGTGTCACAAGAAAACATAGCATGAATGAACGAATTGAAGCGTGAAATGCTGAGCAAATCAATGGGAGGTTGTGTGATGAGTACCTTGTGGACTTCGGAATCCGTCGGTATCGTTCCGCTGGATTTCAGGGTCCACGCCAAGCACCCCACCAGTGTCATCTTTCGTCCGTGTTTACTGACGCGGGAACTGTAACGAGACAATCGGCATTATGGCAAAACCTCAATTCCTGTCTGGTGACAAGAAAGCCATAGACGAGTTCTTGGACAAATTCGATGTATGCGCCTAGAATCTCCGGTTGCCAGATACTTTACTGACGAGATGCTAAGGTCTTCCTCTTTGACTGCGATGGTATGCGCCAGCCTTGTTCCTACGATCATGTCTCTCGCTCGCGACCACTATAGTACCCGTGGCCATCTACTGATCGTGACGAAGGATAGGCGTCCTCTGGTCCGGCGATCACCTGTACGAGAAGGTGCCAGAAACCCTTGAGATGCTGAGGAGTAAAGGTAAGACGCTCACCTCTAGGCAGCATGATTACATTCCAACTAAGTAACCCCAGGGAAACAACTCGTCTTTGTCACAAACAACAGCACCAAGTCGCGCGCAGACTACAAGAAGAAGTTCGAAAAACTTGGTATCCCCGCCCAGGTGGTAAGTAAGCAGGAGCCCAAAGTATGACCACCAGCTGACACGATATCAGGAAGAAGTCTTCGGATCGTCCTACAGCGCCGCCGTATACATCGCTCGCATCCTCAAGCTCCCCGCGCCGAAGAACAAAGTATTCGTGCTAGGAGAGTCGGGCGTAGAACAGGAGCTCGAAGCTGAAGGTGTCCCATACATTGGTGGTACAGACCCTGCCTACCGGCGCGAGTTCCGGCAGCCAGAGGACTTCGAGGCTATTGCGGACGGCAGTCTGCTCGATCCAGATGTCGGTGTCGTGCTGAGTGGTCTGGACTTCCACTCCAACTACTTGAAGACGGCGATTGCGTTCCAGTACCTACAACGTGGCGCGGTATATCTCGCGACCAACATCGACAGCACATTGCCAAATGCGCACTCTCTGTTCCCCGGTGCTGGCGCATCAGGTGCTGCGCTTGAGAGAGCTATTGGTCGAGCCCCGTTGTCTTTGGGTAAGCCGAGTCAGGCGATGATGGACGCGATAGAAGGCAAGTTCAAGTTCGACCGAAGCAGAACATGCATGGTGGGCGACAGATTGAACACGGATATCCAGTTCGGCATCGACGGGAAGCTGGGCGGAACTCTGGCTGTGCTTACCGGCGTTAGCAAGAAGGAGGACTTCCTGGCTGAGGGTGCGACAACTGTTCCGATGGCTTATGTGAACGCGCTGGGTGACCTCATGGGCTGAGGAATGATGTGATGAGAGCAGGGCTGCACCTAGAAGCAGGGTTGCAAGGGCATAGATAGGGTTCGGTATAGAATACAGGGAAACGATGCTAAGACTCGCATGCCATTCTGAACCGCTGGGTCTGGGAACATGGCAAGTAATGATGACCCAATCAGACACGCGAACAGCGCGTGCGCTACATGTGGCTAGCGTGCTATACGCGTGCACGCGAACGCGCCTGCCACTTTAACACCCCCATCAACCGTGGAGACGTGCAAGCCGCCGAACAACGCACGAAACCTCAACATCATGATCCGCCACGACTACTCTCGAGTTGACCCCAAGCGACGCGCGCAAATTGATCCTAAGAGGCAACAATTTAAGAAAGCAGAGTTCCAGCAGCAGAACTATGAACACCGACTGAACTTCTACACGCTGCCACCCACCGCAGAGATTACACTGGAAGAATTTGAGACATGGGCAATCAACAGACTGAAGGGTATGCACCTTTCATCACGATTACCTGATCGTGCTAACAGTGTGCGCTGCAGTCCTCTCCGAACTCGAAGCATGCAGTTTCCGCAACAAAGGCCCCGAAGAGACCGCCGAGTACATGAAGAGCATACTGGAGAAATACCTACCGCTGCGATCGGACTCGTCACGAAGCCAGAAACTACAAGAAGAGCGGAGGAGAGACCACTATTCACACTTCATACTGCGCCTTGCGTTTTCGTCAACAGAGGACCTGCGACGGCGGTTTTCGCGGCTAGAGACTATGCTGTTTACGCTGCGGTTCAAGGATGATGATCTGCGGGAGCGGCAACAATTTGTCAATAGCCTCAATCTGGATTGGACAGAGGTCAAGGAAGATGAGAAGCGGGAGCTGAGGGATGAGTTGCATGCGGCGAGTGGTATCAAGAAGACGGAGGATCAGGAGTGGTTCAAGGTTGATTGGGAGAGGGTACCTGAACTTATTGCGCAACGGAAGGTACTCTTGAAGAGGGGAATGGCGTATGTTCCGCAACGAGAACAGATGAGTCTGGTGGTTGCTGAGTTTACGAAGAAGCTGGACGAGGCACTAGAGGTACGGACTCCGCTACACACATCACGGGAGGCATTACTAACAAACACGTAGCTAACAGCCCGCGCCCTCCCCCGCCTCGACGAAGACGACCGCCTCGCCCCCATCCTCGCCCACCTCTCCCAATCCTTCACAACGCCCGACGCCGCCTACTCCACCTCCGACGCCAACATCGACGGTCTCTCCACCATCACCGCAAACAGCATCGACACACTCTCCCAACACTTCCCCCTCTGCATGCGCAACCTGCACAACAGACTGCGCGACGACTCGCATCTCAAGCACTTCGGGCGTCTACAATACACCCTCTTCCTCAAAGGCATCGGCCTCAGCCTCGACGAATGCCTCGTCTTCTGGCGCCGCAGCTTCAAGCTCATCACCGACGAGAAATTCCAAAAAGAATACAAATACAACATCCGCCACGCCTACGGCGACGTAGGCGGCGACGCAAACCGTCGCGGCCGCGGCTACACACCGTATTCATGCCAGAAGCTCCTCACCGAGGCCCTGCCTGGGGCTGGTCAATCGCACGGCTGCCCTTACCGCACATTTACCCCGGAAAACCTGCTCACGATGTTGCAGCGTGTGGGTGTTAATGATAGGGATGTGCTCAAGACGGTTAAAGAGGATGTGGGGAAACAGAGGTATCATGTTGCGTGTAATAGAGTGTTTGAGTGGAGTCACAAGAAGGAGATTAAGAAGGTCAAGGAGGAGGGGAGCTGGAGTAGTAATGATTTGGATACGATTGTGCATCCGAATACGTATTTTAAGAGGAGTTGGTTGTTGAAGCATTTGGGGGAGGGGAATGCGGGGGTTGTTGGGGGGGAGAAGATGGAGGAGTAGGGGGTTATGTTCTTAGTAGAATTGTATTTCAATGCCAGTTCATGCTGACTTTCAGCGACTTTCATCATACTTTTACGAGACGATTGGATTCCGTGAGGTAGTCGCAGCTTCCTAAGGCGCTATGGCATCTGTGCGTTTTTCGGTTAGTCGCCTATTTCGACACTCGCGCGAGCTCCTACCTTCACAATTCTCCAACTCCATATTCTGCCATCATTTCCAGCATGAGTTGGAATGTAGAAAAATCCATTGAGTTGCACAACCAGATTGTTGCCCATGCGCTCTCACATCTTCCGCCTGGACACCAACCCAACGTCGAGCGTGATTGGTTCGCCACACACCGGCTGGATCCAGCTTCCACGAAATCTGAATTCGATCTTGACGATGATCTCGTAGAATTCCTATCTGACGTCAAAATCGTCGCACCCGAATATAACGGTCATCTTTTAGATTTCTGTCCAGTTCTCGTCGGCGTTGTAAACCCTCGCGGTGATCACGGGCTGCGACCCCAGTCGTGGGAAGGATCTCGCGATCACGCTGGCCTCATCTCGCTATACCACAATGAAGGTCCCTATCCAGGCGGCTTGGTCTACAGCCTGGATACGCGACAGGTTACCTACTTGAAGGATGCGTCTACCTCACCCTTTGAGCCAGAGCTTCCGTGGGCCAATTTGAACGACGTCCTACAACTCTATTGGAACTGCATCGAGTCCGGGAAGTTCGTTATAGACGCCGGGAATTTCTTTGGATACAGCAATCCAGGGTGGAGGATCGAGCATTGTACGGAGAAAGAGATGGATCAGATGTTGGATGTGTGGGGTAGCTTGGTCGATTTAATTGCGAAGAAAATGCCTGCATCCGGCACGCATGGAAGACGAAACAACGCTCAAGACAAAATGGAGGACGAAGGACCCCGACGCAAGAAGAGAAGGACGCAAGAAGTAGGCTTGGTTTCTACCGAGGTCTTGAACATGTACCCAGCGATCCCGCCGTTCGTGCGCGCCTTCCTTTCGAGAGCTAAGAAACCTCCGTTCAAATCCATCGCGCCACAGCTCGATGTTCCTGATGAGGCTTTCGTTCATCGTATAGGAGCACAGATGCAAAAGAAGGACCCACAAGCTACTCTCATAGAGTCTCAGACCGAGGTTATAGGAGAACGTTTATTTCTGCTTTTCCCGTGGCGCACACAAGGCATGCCGCTCATTTCCGAATGCGACCAGCTGCGTTGGGAGCCTACCAACCGATCTGGAATTTTGGACAATCGGGGAGGACTATACATTCATCACAACAAGTTCTACTCACATTGCAGCACATTACTACTTCCATTTCCTGTGGGGGGTAACGGTCATGTTCTCCGAGGTGACGACACCAAAGTGGAGGAGCCGGGCCAGGACGTGCTGTATGATCTTGGCCTGCGCGAACCTTTCCTACCTGACATCGGAACGCCGCTGATTCCTATACTGCTCAACTGGTGGGAGCAAGTCGAAAATGACTCCTGGGCTGTTGACAAGAATGGAGTTGCAGGAGGAGGCGAGCTTTGGAAGAAGGCGGATACCGAGCAACATGCGGAGGACTTCCAAATCGAGTGGGGAATGCGTCTGGCCGATCTATACTAGTTGTTGCGCATCGCCAGATCGGTAACGACGAGGCTTGGATACGTGGCAGTTTGCGGATACATGCATGATTGCTTGAGCCAAGACGCGATGGTGCGGTGTCACGCCCTGCGAGTTTGTCAACAACAAACATGTACCTGCTCTACTCATTATAGGACGATATGTCTGGCAAAAGATGCTCAGGGAACTACGATCAGCCAACGATGAGCGACCGGGCTTCATCCACGTTCATTGGGGACAATACCCACGGGTCTACCCTGAACCAAGGGTCTATCGTCACTGGAGATGGCTCACACGTCGGTAACATAAACCATTTTCACACGGCTACACAGGAGGATTTCGCGCGCAAATCATGTCTGAGAGACCTTCTGGCAGCTTTGGGGGATGATCCAGACGACTATCGGCAGATGCTCGAAGACCGCAAAGGACCGAAAACACTGGGCACTTGTGAGTGGGTCTCGGAAACCGATGCATACAAGAGCTGGATCGCGAAGTCTTCCGGCCTACTATGGATCTCCGGAGATGCCGGCAAGGGGAAGACTATGCTTTCTCTCCATCTCGTCAGCAGCCTGAAAAGCGACTCTTCAGCTGCGCATGTCGTCCACTTCTTCAGCAGTCGAGATCAAGGAAGGAACAATGGTGCTTCTATCCTCCGCGGCCTTATCTATCAACTGCTTTCCCAACGTCCATCGCTTTTCAAGCATGTCTTGGATGACTACGACAAGCATGGTACTAGTCTTTTCGATGACAGAAAGTTTCAAGCCCTCTGGACCATCTTCGCTCGGATGTTATACGACAAAAACATCATACCCATTACATGCATTCTCGACGGTTTAGACGAGTGCGACGAAGACGGTCTCGAGGACTTCTGGGTGAAGATCAAGAGCCTATATGATACAGATCTTGAACGGGAAGTGGAACAATTTTCTCACCACTTGAAGCTTCTCGTTGTCAGTCGCAATCACCCTTACTCTATTGAGCAAGCAATGCATGCATTCCCCCGACTGCGTCTTGAACCCGACAACGAGCCGCAAATTGGATCTGATATCTCCAAGTTCATCGACGATCGCATGGCTGATCTACGCTGCCCAAGAGAGACATACGCATACATCAAGAGGAAGTTGTCTTCTCGGTCGGAAGGCACCTACCTGTGGGTCAGCTTTGCTATCAACGCCTTGAAAAAGGTTCGGGTCATCGACATGGAAAGCACTGTCAACGCTTTTCCACGTGGTCTCGACGCCATGTATCGTCGCATGGTGCTGGTGATATCAGAGCGCGAACGAGGTAGAGTTATAGAAATACTCCGATGGGTAGTCATTTCCGTCCGGCCACTCACACTTCGCGAGCTCGCCGTCGCCGTGAATACAAATCCCGCAAGGGGCCAAACGCTCGAGGAGGCCGTCTGTGATGAAGTCACCTATGCCGGAGACTTATTGACCATGAACAAGAAGCTCTGCGCGGACGACCAAGTAGTGAGCCTTGTACACTCATCGGTTCTGGACTTCTTTCGGTCTATCCCTCAACATGATATCAGCCTAGAAAGCTTTAGTCTCCAGGCGACAGCCACATACGCTCACGTGGCTCACCGCCTCCTCGATTACACTCTCCAGTCTTTGCTTACTCTGGCCCCCTCCGAACATGAAAGTACGAATCGCGATAGCCCGGTCCCGATCCAATGGAAAGAATATCCTCTTCTCGACTATGCACTTACTTATGGCATTCGACACTTACTGCAAAGTGGAGACGTTAAGCTTTTCGGAGACCACCATCGGCTACTGAACCCAGCCGAACAGTATCACATCTTGTGGTTGCAGCATACATTGCATGCAATGCACGGCTATTGGCCCCGAAAGAGAGTCACTATCGCACATCTGGCAGCCTTCGAGGGTCTTACCAATGTTCTCGACTACCTTCACACAGAGCAAGACGTTGACGTAAATGTCCAAGATGGCGATGGGCGAACTTTGTTGTTCTATGCCACCATGCGCCACAAGTTGGACACTGTGGCCTGGTTAATGAGCCGAGATGCAGATCCAAGCGCTCAGGACGTGGCTGGACAGACCCCCTTGCATCTTGCTGCGAGCTTCTACGGAACCGAAATGGTGGAAATTCTCACCCGTCACGAATCACGAACACGTAGCCATTCTTCCACCCACAGCGCAAATGGTGATGTCGAAAGTTTCCTACGTCAGGAGAATCAACTATTCAACCATGATTTAATTGATATTACCAGCAAGAGGCTTAAATGTGGCGGAACGCCTGCTCATATTGCTGCGACTGCTGGAAATGCTGACGCACTAAAACTCATACTCGACTGGTTCCTGCGTGAAGGTGGATCGATCAACGAAGCTGACGCGAATGGTCGTACTATCCTCCACCAACTGGTAGCCGGTAACCCATGGATCCCACGGTCCTCTTGGCATGTTTTGAACCAATCATTCAGATCTTTCGACGACTTCAATCTCGACATCCTGGACAATCATGGAGAGTCTGCTCTGCACATCGCATCAAAAAATTACGAGCTGACATACTTTTTGAGGCATTGGGAGGACTTCGATGGAAATGCGGAATTCGAACATGGAAGATGCGACTCGGTTTTCGCACTTATAGATATATTCGGCGCAGTTGTCGACATCCGAACTACCACTGGAGTAACCCCGCTACACCTCGCCTGCGAAATGGGGAATTTCAACTTGGTCGCTTGCCTTCTCCGCAAGGGAGCTAATCCGCGCTCATGTGATCAGTCTGGACAAAACGCACTGCACTGGCTTTGTAGCCAAATGCAACGCTGCAATGATAGCAGACCCAGGATCTTATCCATACTACTGCAGGACATTACTCTGGTGGATATTGAAGCTAAAAGAGCCGACGGTCAAACAGCTCGAGACCTTGCTACCAAGTGTGACGATGACTATGTTGAGTATACATGTTATTATGAGAAGGACTCGAAACTAAGTCGCTATGGGAACGACCAGAAACTAAATCTCGCGATGCGCGCGACCCCACAGCGCAAGTCCCTGAGCGCAGAGGTACGCTGGGTCGAGCGAAAATACTTCCTCTATTGGGCCTTCGAAGAGCTTCAGAGTCTCATCGATTGTAGCCTCATCATCATCAAAGGCGAGGGGTCAAAGAAAGATTTGGAGTTTCTGGAGCGAATAGTCAGCAAGCATCCGTATTTACAGCATTGGCTAGATAAGAGACGCCGGTACCAGGAATCTGAAGCGAGCAACTAATGACTGATCGGGTGTAGCTGCTGGCCACTTTTCGGGTGTGGTTGCATGACTGAGATGCAAGTATGGGAGCTTTGCATGGGGAAGGAAGAAGTGAAGATGTCAGCAGCGAACGAGCCGTATTTCCATGACTTGAATAGCATTTCATCGACTGGATGATACCGAGGAATGATGTATCCCAGACTGAGCCTTCTCCGGTATCAACCTTCATTTCTTGAAGATCTCAATAGGAAAGGCATCAGCGATCGCCTGATAACCGGCAACACTCGGATGCAACCCATCACCACTATCGTACCTCTTATCCAACCTCTCCGCATTCGTCTTATCCGCAACTATACTCGCAATGTCAACCGTGAAATCATAGTTCCCACTCTCCAAGATCCACTTATTCACCCTCTTCCTCGTCTTCTCCCTCTCAACACCCTGATACCCATTACCAGCAAAAGGCGCAATCGTACCGCCGATAGTCGTGTAACCAGCCGTCTTCGCATCAGCAGAAATCTGCTTGAACGCTGCAATGAGGCGGTCGCCAACGGAAGTTTGTGCGGCAGCGGTGTTGGCATTACCGCCGATGTCGTTGACGCCTTCGAAGACCATGACCCATTTCACGCCTGGTTGCTCGATGGCGTCGCGCTTGTAGCGGGTCAGGAGGGGTGGGCCGAGACCGCCGCTGAGGACGGTGTTGCCGCCGGCGGCCTGGTTGCAGACGGCGATGTTGGTGTGGTTGGTGGATTGGAGACGGGCGAGTACGAGGTCGGGCCAGCTGCGGTGGTATTAGACGGGAAGTAGTTTGCGGGGTTGAGTAGTGCTTACCGGTTGTTCTTGTTGTCGTCTGAACCTCTTCCGTCGGTGATGCTGTCACCGAGGACCATCAGAGAGCGCGTGGTGGTTGGTACGTAGGCTTGTACTGCGCTGACGAAGTACCAGTGTACGCTTTGAGTACCAGAGAAATTCGTAGCATTGACCTTGTTTCCACTGACGAACCAGCTCGTCGTCCTACTGCCGGGATGACCAGTGATGCTGCTGCCGCTCTGACCTTGCTGGCTGTACAAGCTCACAGTGAGCATGCTTTGAGGCTTGACTTCGAAGGCAATCTCATCGCTGGTAATGACCTGGCCCTTGGGTACCGTGAAGCTGGACTTGCCACCAACGGTAATGGCTGCGAGGGGTGAGGCTTGCATGCCACTGACGCCCGCAGCGCCACCTGCAGGAAGACCGACAGAGCCTGCGGTGATGGGAAGATCCGAGCCACCGAACGTGTTGGAAATGGTGATCTTGATCTTCGGCGCGCCAACGGACATGTGGAGGGTTTGGCGGAGCGTTGCATCGCGCATTACGCTTCCGGAACTCTGTAATCATGTTAGCATTTCTGGAATTCAACCTTGGATAGTTCAGATCGCATACAAAAGGCGCTGGCGGCATGTTGCTCGCTTCCACCAACTGCGGCATGCTCGTCCAGGTATTGATCCAATGCGAGCCATCCTGTCTCTTCTCAATCGCATCAATTGCACGACCATTAACGGTGGGAGGAAATAAAGAAAGCGTCGCAAACGCGACAGAAAGAAGTGATGTGTAAAACATCATGGCAAGAAACAAAGTTTCAATCGACTGGGATGATGTTGTCGCAATGCGGCTGACGACCGGTATTTGAACAGTTCATCTGGCATTTCGAATTAAGCATTTCGGTCATATTGCGTATGTACTGCAATTAGTTCCCAATTTCAGCAAAAGCGACTGCTCTGTCAATGCGGCAGGCGCAAATGATGTGGGGAGTCAGTCGTTCAGCGGGCGGACGTTTGGAAGTAATTAATCCGGCAGGGTGTACGGTGGCCGTGCTATAGCCAGTGCCTTTTGTCCTGGGGAGAATAGCCGGAGGCTTGGTCGACTTCGAGATTGGTCCATGTAGTGGTCTCACGAAGGACTGCCGAAGGTAATGTGAGATTGATGCTTGTGAGTGCATCGTCACTATGCTGAGAGTCGGGTGGGCATTAGCTGAGTGCACAGCATTGCAGCTCTATTGTGCGGACGAGTGATAGGATAAGGGGCGTCTGGTACTTATGTGGATGAAGTTACGGGTGAGCTCGCATTGAGCGTTGACGAAGGTGGCTCCAGGACAGATTGAGCGTCCATCGTGCAGGCACGAAAGTTGTGGTAGTAGCGACGCGCTTAGGTTCGTGTGTGAAGGAGAAGTCCGAGCCCTGGAGAGGACAAATGGGTATGACGTCATGACTCTGCCCTTTAGCATGAGGCCTATCCAGAATTTCTACACAGCACTGCCGAGTGAAAGTAAACTTGGGCGTGGCATCTAGTATCGCATTGGTCTTGGGCAGAGCGCAGCTCGATGATTGTGGACAATCGTTGCACGTGACGCGGTGGAGCTCCTTCGTGCACGGACCGCCGCGCTTTCAATCAGTTCCACGCCTCGCGTCTTGTTTCATCTATCACGCCATCAGACGACGTCGAGGCGCAACCAACCCTTAATACTACAGATCATCATATCCGCACGTCCTGCCGAGTCGGTATTGATCAAATGACACGTCGCGAATGTGCTATGCGTGCCGCAGGGCATACCAGTCGGGATCAGGATCGTGCAGCTATCTACGGGACCACGACGCGTATGTATTCCCGATGCAAGGCTTTGCGATACTTGGATGAATGCGAATTAATTACATTTTTAGTATTTTGTATGGTCGTCTACGGCACCTGAGTGTTCATTGCAACCTCGACAATATCCGTCGCGATCCTGTCGTGTTCATAAACACCAGAGCGACTCGTATCCCAAGACATTTTCTCTTTGTTGTATCGTTCAACAGCCTTTAGAAACTTACGATGCAACTCTCCCAATCGCGGAAATTGTGCATTGGTACGCTTGGACTGTTTCTTCTTCGCACAGCTGATGTTCATCAAGCGCACCAATTCTGCCCATGCAAGGAGTTTGAGGAAAGCGTCCTCATTTGAAAAGAAGCGGCTTCGCATAGCGGGATTCCACCCTTGGAAGAGTTGGACGGCGGGACGTACTACGCCTCCAAACCAATCGGGCTCTGCACGATTACCTTCCCATAGACGAAAGATCTCTTCGGCATGGACATCGACGTAGTCCTTGAGTAGACGAAGCTGCGTGACAGCAACGCCCTCCTCCGTACTGCATATTATGCCCTTACTCCGCTGTGGGAACTCGAGGGTGACCTCCTCTCGTAATGGATTGACTTGCAACTCAAAGATCTGTTCGATGTCATTGCCGATGCGCTCAGCCAGACTCCGCTTACACAAGGACATCTGGCATACTGGACACCTGCCGATCTTCTCGTCAAGCGTACGCAGATTGTCCATGAGACATCGATCATGCATAGAGCAACCGCAAGGAGGTGCTATGACAGGATTCTTGTCTGCGTCATGGTAAGACTTGAAGCACAACTGGCAATTCCCAGTAGGTGTAGGGTCTTTCCAAGAATTTGGTACAGCACAACGCTCAAGGAAATCCACCTGATCAGGAAGTGAAGACGGGATGGTTTCGGAAGCCTTGTGGAAACGTGAGCTTAATCGTTCGGTGTCGTGTGCAGGAGTAGACGTACTAGGGGGTGCCTCTGTACAGCGAACGCTGAAGCGTTTGGCCTTGGCCTCCAACTCCGACCTCGTATCCCAAGTTCGACCTTCAAGCTTCTTTAGCGTTGCAGTATGCCGTTGCTGTGGTGGCTTACCTGGAAGTTCGACTGGCGACCCACGCGTGGGAAGTTCAATTGGCGATCTACGCGCGGGAAGTTCTGCCACTGGTCTAAGAGTTGCTGACGCATCAAAACCGAAAGAATTCGCTCCATCGCCGTTCACGTAGAAAGTCGACGGTAGTAGCTCTTCGCTACCCTGCTCAACCACCCATTGAGGTGGGTTGCCCTGGTACCATTCGTCATAGGCAAACGGTGGCGACCTTTCGCTTTTAATGGTCCCAACACTGGACTGCCCGCTCACTACAGATAGGTTAGTGGATGTGGGAGGGCTCGTCTTGTTCGTGTACAGACCAGTCACACCCAGCATATCTCTAGCCCTTGCTACACTTGCATCTGTCTGGATTCCGGGAAACATACCCATCGTGGCCTGGGCATCTGCATAGATCGAGGACGTATCGTGAACGGAATCGACCCGATGATGGCGCGTGTGCGGCACGGCTGGTGAGGTTGCGCGCGTGGATGGGGGAGCCGAGCCCATGGGCGTGCTATCACGCGAAGAGCTACCGTGTTGAGAGATCAAGACCGATGGACGACCTTTCTGCCATACTTGAGGGGGCATTTCTGGCTCCCGTGCTGGAATCGAAGCACTGCGATGACGGCCTGGGATGATCGAAGATATACGCTCGGCAGTGTCACGTATCCTCGTCTCTAGCGAGGCTCGTGGCCTAGACTTCTCCCCAGTATGTCCGGACGAGCTTGGCCGCGAATCAGGCACGGAACTGGACGTTACAGACATGGATGTCATGGAACCGGATAACAAGTCTACACTGGGTGTGTAAGCCGGGGGCTCATCGCCATTCACGCCCTTCCACTGGTCTTTCGTAACAGTGTTCTTATCCTTGTGCATACAGAAGAACTCCGCACATTGCTCGACGATCTCAGGATGGCGCGGCGTCTGGTAGCTATGCTTCCTTGGTTGTGAGCAGCGGCATACGAAGTCTTTGTCCCGGCTGGTATAGTGAAAGTCTTCAACAAATACGCCTTCCATCGCCCATTTCGCTTCTCGGGCTGCGCGATACTTCCGGAAGTCAGCGAAATTGCAGGATTCAAGGCCATGGCGGTCGAGGTATAGCATTATGCTGGCGCTCAGATGCCTCGATTCGCATGCTACGGTGGACGTCCTCTCGCCATGTCGTCCCGCATCTGCACAGCGGCAGACGCGGGTGCGCTCCTCGCCAACGTAATGCAAGATGCGTTCCTCGGATGATAAAGAGGATAGGGAGTGGCGGTGGAGATCATCTGCGCGGCGGACTTCGACTGATCTTGTGCGCTTGCGGCGGACATAAACGTAATTACCCTTGTTGTGCGCGTAAGACTGCATCTTGCTATAAGAGTAACAAGACTTTGTGGATTGGCAGGTAGACGGGGATGTCTACTGGTAAATGTGACCCAGCGGTCTGTATAAAAGTACTGGAGTGACTATCTAGGTTCCAGGATCTGTGCATTCTTCCCCGAGTGAAGAGAACTACAACTAGGTTCTCCTTTCGTGACGTCGTGCACGCACCAAGTACAACGGCATCGTTAATACCAGAGACGTCACGAAGTTGACGTTGAGCACAGGCCTGCACAATGCGATTCATCGCAAGAGACCTTCAAACGCGTTGTGAGAAAGACACTGATACGATCAAACCATGGCTCGGTCACGAGGTCATGACGCGAAACCATTGTGTTTAGATGAGCGATGGTGGGTAACATTGCATATGAGTGGTAATCTTCGTTTCATCTTCTATTCGAAGTTGGCCACTATCATCAAGGACGCTGTTGTGGCCTTGCCAGACCTTTTGACAACCCTTCACATCGGCCGAAGCCACTGATGAGAATCGAACAGGTCGGAAACCCTTCTTACACTTCCAAACCGTCGTCCTCGAACAGATCGTCCAATGCTGAACCATTTTACTGGACGGCTTCTTCCGCATCCTCGAACAGTTCGTCCAAATTCGAATCATCAACCTCAGCACTCTCTTCCACGCTCAACGGCTCCTCAGTGGGCACTGATGGGCTCTCAGCCTTTTTCTTAGTAAACGCGGGATTCTTGTCTGGAATTCCAGACGGTTCATCGCTCTGCGAGATGATTACCTGCTCTGGTGAGAGCTGCAAACCCTGAGCCTCAAGATGTTTGATCTCCCAATATTCATTGAAGCGTGGCCAATTAGGCCACTTCTTCATACCCTCTAGACGCTCACAGTACTTGAGTTTGTGCTTGTAGTCTTTTAGCTTTTTAGCGACTTCCTCTTGAAATGCGGCCTCAGCGGCAGCAGCCTGCTCTTCTGGAGAAAGCTCAGAATCAACTTCAGAAGTAGACGCGACGTTCTGTTCAAGCGAATTCGGTGCCAGAATAGGTCCAGGTGCAGCTCCTGCATCGGTCGCATCGTGTGGCTGCTCTCGCCACTTCTTCCTCTGTTCCTGTCTCGCTTCTTTCTTCGGGCTGGTATCCGCCTTCTTTTCACTCCGTAATCGCTCTTTCTCTGCATGATGCGTCTTCTGGTCTTCCTTTTTATTGGGTGACTGTTCCGTCTTCCAAGTCATATGACTCTCATGCAAGTCGCCCTTCTTGACCAACTCTTCCATCTTTCTTTTCCACACCGATTTATTCCTAGAGATTGAAGCTCTCTTTCTTTCCTTTGTGACTCCTTCTGTGCAGCAGGCCCCGGTCAACCATTGGTGGTTGCATTTGTACATTCCGGTGACTTCGTGCGGCATGAAGTCCTCGAGCTCGCCGGGGTGTGGAGGAACCGAAACCTTGTCCAGGGGATGTGTTACCTGGTCTGGTCTGATGGGTTCTACCGGTATTGACGGGGCGAGGATAGATACAGGGGCTCTAGAAGTCTGGGGCTGTGGCAGTGGATTCTGCCCTGCTAGAACTTGACCAGATGTGGGCAGACGAGTCGTGACTGCGACATCCATCGGGGACGTCCCAGATGCAATGCCGCAATACTGGTCATAGGCAGCTACCATATCCTGGTCGACTAGAGTCCCAACTGCCTGAGCCGCTACAATCCGATCCCACCTTGCCCTAGTTTCAGCTGTATCTTGCTTGAACCTATTCGCAAACTCCACCTCGGCTCCAATCAAGCTCGCTTCGAAGGTTGTGATACGCTTCCATAGCGACTGGTTTTCTTTGCTAGTTTGGTCATACTCGCTCATCTGACGTCCTAGCTCTGCCATTTGGCGGTATGCGATATAACGTTTGTAGGAGGTTAGGGAGCGAAGGCGCCACACATCGCGTGGTACTAGCATCTCATCTTTCTGATCGACAGCAGATCCGATAGTGCCTTGATCGGCGGAAATGGCTGGTATGATCGTTATAACCGTTCCTTGGAGATCTGGATGCGCATTAATGAGCCACTGCTCTTGCTGAATGCGCGGCGTCGTTCGCGCGGCTTTCACATTCACAGCGGGGACTTGGGCACCGCGATGAAGCCCTTCTACTCCCGTCTGGTGAGAAGCACACCGTGTGGCTGCGACTGGAGTTGCGCTGTATTGGTGTGGTCCTTGTGTACCCACTAATGGCTGGATACGCTGTTGCTGCTGTTGCTGGCGCGGAACATTTGCGGTCACTGTAGGTACCATGGGGCCAGTTAGCCCATGACTACGCGTAGTCTGGGGTGTATGTACTCTCGGCGCATACTCGGGCCGTGTCGTTGGTGCAGGCTGCTGAACCGCCGTAGGCCCCATGGGGTGATTTGGCGCGTGACTATGCGCAGCCTGGGATGCATGTAGCCTCCACGCATAGTCAGGTTGTACCTCTCGAGCAGGGTGTCGGTTCACGTGAGATCCATAGCTTTGGTATAGATTCCCAAACCCCATCTGTGGAGCTGTCGGAGGCCGTGATGGGTGGCTGACACTATAATGCTGGTTGTTGCCGTGTATATACCCTAACGTGGAAGTATATAAGCCGTTCACGGAAGTCGTATATCCTGAGTTGACTTCCCGTGGGTTCAGTGGGACCGATGGGTGAGTATGCGGCGGGCTTAAGTACGGAGGATGGACAAGAGGTGACGATGGTGTTCGCGGAATGTAAAGCGAGGGTGTTTGGGTGTAGCAATCGTGGACGTCGCTGGAATCTTCAGGCGGCGTCCAAAGTCCATACTGGCGTTGGCGCTTGATCGGCCCAACTAATTCCTCTTCGTGCGCGCGCTTCGGTGGGCGCGGTAGCGTCGCAGGCGTAGATGGTAGCTGAGACATAACAGTATAACTACCAGCCGTGTGTATGGCGAGACGTTGTTGCTTGGAGACTTTTGGAAGCTCGCGAATTCGCGATCGAATTGTTGAGCGTGGCAGTGGATGGGTGGAGGTGGGTTCCAGAGGCTCCGGTGTTGCTGGAAGACCAGACCCACCGTCAGGACCAGCTAGCACATGATTCATTCGGTCACTATTGTTCTGGATACGGAGCGATGCCGGCGAAACGCACTGACGGTCACTCGGAAGTGGCAAGTGCTGTGTGGTTTTCACTTTCACTTTGCTTATGCTACCTTGCGTAGGTACGTGGTAGTCTATCCAGGAGCCTGTATTCATTGGAATGCATGCTAGATCGATGATATAATCAGGGGGGTTTTGTTTTGGTACTAACGTCTACATGAATAGGGTTCGTGGTCAGAGAGATCGTGTCGCTTGCCGCCTACATGGACGCTTGTATTGGAGAAACTAAACTGCATATTGGGACTTGGGGTATACATTGTCTTCTATACTACATATATGTGCCTATAGGACTCTGTGTATGCAGCAAAGTAATACGGATTATCTCTATTCGCGCGTTGAAAGGTGGTGCAAGTAGTCCAACGAAGTTCTCCTCCACTCCCAATCGTCCTCATCAGTGAAATTGTCACTGTCGTAGAGAGCCTCAAGATCGTGTTTTCCGTCGAACTCGAGATGCACTTTCAGTCCGTCGGCGCCATGTTGGTTGAGAATTGTGCCACGTTCAGTGTTGAAGAACATGTAGTTGCCTGGAATCTGGTTCACCTGAACTCCTGGTAACAGCTTCCTTGAATAGTCTTGTAGGGATTCATCCGGACCTGCTTTAGGCCAGTAGTCGCCTTTGGCGGAGCTCATGCCGCGGAAGGTCAAGGTCTTGAGATTTGGCCATGGTTCGGTGAAAGCTTGCTCTACCACCCGATGACGAAATCGGATATCAGGGGGGCATTTGACGTCTGCATCCGCTTTGATGTGCTCATCGACCTCGTCATGGCGGTCGACGAATATTTTCCGGTGTTCCAGCACGATCTCTACCGCGGTGAGACGAATAGATCGCAGCAGAGACGCCCATTGCTTCATTTGAGGGGCTTCGTAGTCAAGATCATTGGGTCTCTTGCGGAATCCATTGAACCAAACAGGCTTACACAGTAGCAAATGAGTGAGCGAGGCGAATTCAGGCCATGCTGCATCATGCCATAGGCCACCTCGGGGACCAATGTAGACCGGACATATAGTCTCTCCATACTCCGACAGCTCCAATTCGTGGCCTCTGAAGAACTCTGGTTCATCGAGAAGGCCGAGATCGAGACTGACGATAGTAGACGCTGAAGCCCTACAGATGGCCGAAACAAACTCCACAGGAACATAGCCTCTCAGACGTACATTCTGTACACTGGTTGCCGCCGGATGCCGGAGGCCCAGTTGAGCTGTGGGCGGCCCTCTCCGATCTTCGGATTAAGATGAATATATAAGCCAGTGGGTATCATCAAAAAGGTGTCCAAGTCTGGTATAGCCCTCTACCAGTATCAAAAAGGTCGTAAAATAAGAGTGAATGCAACATATCCTCGGCCTAGGGAAGCTCGGGCCAAGCCTCGCGGCTCGGCACCCGGGGATTACCCGGCGAGGTAGCTCTCCTCACAGTGATCAGGTAACAACAATAGCCCCACGTACGACCGTGGGATCTCCGATCTTCGGAGTACTCGCCAATAACCTCAATCGTACGGAGATTAGGGAGTGAGAGAATAGTGTTCCAGATGTCGGGCGGGCTCTCATGCGTCACCGTGAGGCACAGGTGTCGTACGACCGGCTTGATCCGATCCCAAGCTTCAGATTTGCCATTGGACGCATACATCTCCCTGATGGCAGCACGAAACTGCTCGTTTCTGGTGTCGTATTCGGCATCTACCCCGTCGTAATCGCGGTAGCACCATGGATGTAGCAAGTAGTCCTCCAGGTAGGCTCTGGGAGGCTGCTTGTGGGAAAGAGTGAAGCAGTTATCGTGGGCGTCTTGGCGGTGGAGCTCGATCTAGGAAGTGAAAGTCAGTACATGCTTCAGATACAGTGCTGAGTCACCAACACTTGTCCAGAGCGCAGACTGCGCAAACCCGCGATACCGTTTTGAAGCTCGTGCCAGCTGAGTCAGATCGTGAGGTCGCAGGTAGCTCATGACGTCGATGGTCAACTCGGCCGGCAGCTTATCGATCATGGCCTCCGCTTTCAATGAAGACACTGCCATGGTGGCGGCTCTGTTGCAGGGCACTACAGATGTATGTGGCTGTGGGGGAATGAGAGGCTGAAGATGGGCCCAACAGGCAGCCGTGACGCGATAAGACAATAATAGTGGGAGTGAGTGCGCATCAGAGGGAAGAGCGGAGGAGCGAAGCGCGTTATCACGTGCGCGATCCTGAAGTGAGACGACACTACAATAGAAAACTTGAGTTGCTGCATACAATGTACTATCTATTAACAACTGATCTGCATTGAAGGCAATGTATACTCCAGGGGTAGTCAAGTACTCAAATACATCTCCATCACCATCCCGACCTATGCTCCGTAAATGCGGAGATCATCATAACCATTCCGCCAACCTCTAGCCTTTCTCTGCACGGCCTTCACCACCGAATGCGGCAGTGGCGCCGTCCACCCCTTCTTCACCAGCAATTTCTTCTCCTTCTCGTAATACCCTTCTTTGCGCCACACCTCGAGTGTAACACCCAGCTTCTCAAGCTCATCTGCAGCGTACCGGAAGAAGGTGACATCCACCGGATCCAATTCATGCAGGCGAGGTGCATCTTCCCTCGGGTTATCCATCTCCATGATCACAACAAGAGCGAGGCGTTTGAGCGGAGGGAACATGGCGGCTAGAGAAGCGAGGCAGATTTGGAGTGCTTCAGTTTCGCTCATCTCATCGCTTTCTTCGATGGTGTCGTGGAGAGTGGTGGTGAGATGGTGGAGCTTGTCGATGTCGACGCAGTCCAACGTCAGATCTTCCAAGCTCGCGGGGAAGACGGCGTGAGGGTTGGATAAACACTTCAAGTTGGTGGAGTTGGTGTCGCTTTTGGGGACGAGGAGGTCGAAGTCGATGTGTAACTGGCGGAGATTTGTGAGATCTTTGAACGTGTCGAAACGTGGGTGGCCTTCTTGTCGGTCAGACTTCTGATTTGACCACTGGAGTAGTTCTAGGAGTGGGGTGTGTTTCTCTAGGCTTCGCAGGAGTTCGGCTAGGTTGTCGCCACGCAAAGCGAGAGGCAGATTGCGTCTGCTGCGTCCGCAGTCATCGACTACGAGTTCTCGGAGGTTGGCCATTGCTGGGTTGCTGACCATATTCTGGATTATAGCAGGAGTGATGTTTCTAGTTGTCGTAAATCGAATTCGGCGGAGGACGGGTTGCGCAGGCATAGGGGATGGATAAGCGAACATGGATGAAGTCGCTCGTGCTTCGACGTCGAAATACCCGACGTTGTACTCTAATGTTCGTAGGGTTGGCAATACCACGATGGAAGGCATCAGAGAAAGACCGGCGTTGTGGACGAGATGTTGAACGTTCTGAAAGGGGCCTTTGCCGTCACTCCAAGGTGCCCAAAGAAGGCGTAACACATGTGTAGGTGGTTCTTTGGAACCAAGTTCTAGATACTGGACCTTCTGCGCCATAAACAGAATGAGCGTGAAAATCTGATTGCTGGCTGTATAGTGATTCATGGGAGCCGTCAGAATATCACAATACAAGGTCAGTTTTGCTGAGAGGAATTCCGAGAACCCGCATCCTGGAGAGAGAACTTCATCCAGCACCTCTTGTATCGCGTGCGTGTAATTCCATACATCATATTGGAGCTTCTTCCTCGTCGGCGGCTTTATGTCGGCGTCGTGAGAGGACCAATGCTGGGCTGGTATGTAGCTCAAGCTCTTGATGTGAAGGGCGAGTTCCTTGCGGTCTAACAACGTGAAGAGCAGTCGCAGTGGTCTTTCAAGGTCAGATTCATACACTTCGATATTCGTATAGAGGTATGGCTCAGCAATGCCCCGGTAGTATTTGTTCGTCTTGGAGAAGGCGCTGAGAGCCTTAGTGTCGCCGACGAGGCAGCTGGCGATTTGGCCATCAAGCTCCGTCGATAGCTTCTGGAGGGACATATTGTATACTGTTGGGCCGACTTCGTTGAGGTGGTGGAAGAACAGTGGTATGAACAGAGGTCGAGTGGAGAGTCTGCAATTACGAAAGCAACCGCCTTAAAGTTGAAAGTTGAAGCCAGTGGTCGCTCGCGGTAGTTGATCGCTATACTTTTGGTAGCGGCGTTGAGACTGGCAGAAGAGCGGCGTGGATAAAGCCTGGAGCCGAAAGTAGAACTGAAGAAAACACAGTCGACCACACCGCTCGGACCCTCCTCTTTCGATTTACACACCACCAGTAGTGAAAGACCCATGAATTCCTACCTGTATGCGTAAGGGTGTCCATCTTCCTCTCCCCACCAACTCAGATGCGACTTAAGACCCTCTTCAGCCCAGTCACCCGCATATGCCCAGTTTGGACCATAGCTTCCTACCTGAGTGCACGTGAGTATTCGTTTCCATCTCCCCCAACGACCCAAATTCCACTCAGAACCCTCTCTTTCAATAATCACGTGTACGCTCACCAGCAGTGAAGAACTGTGGGATGTTTCCGACCTGCGTGCATGTGGACATCGCGTCTACTTCCCTTGCGCCCTTCAACACCCTCGCACCCATGACGTACCTTCAATCTTCAACTCTTTCTTGCTTGCACGCTGAGCCATCTGAATTCCGCTGCTCACGTGTTGGCGATACATCATACTGTTGCCTTCGCATCTCCTTATACTCTACTTCACCTCTCCCACCGCCTCAGCCCCATGAAAAAAGAAAACCAACACCGCACCCACTTGTGATGTAATACGATTAAACATTGACCAGCCCGAGCACCCCACTATCTATGTATACATATGCTCCTTTCCCATTAACGCCACTTCATAACCTTCGTTGAACGGATTTCAGAAAACGAACACGCTGATTCCGAAGAAAATGTTCCAAATGCGAGGAAAAAGATGTGCGAACGAACAAAGGTCTTTTCCATTACCTCAACGGCGACCCGGCCCTACCCTCCACCGGCGTCTCACCCGTCGTAACGCGTATACTAGGCAGTCTCTCTAAATTCAGATTCAACGCCGGTAACTGCGGCGCCCGCGTATTAATAGGACTTTCGTAGTTGGGAGGATCTTCATACGCAGGCGCGTCTTCCCCTGGTACCGGCCCACCATTGCTTCCACCAACTCCACTTCCACTCCCACTATAACTCCTCTCCGGATTCAAACTCACAACCTCAAACCCTTCGGCATGCGGACTAGGGCTAGGCCCAGCAGTAGAATGCGAATTCGAGCGCGACGCATCCGCAAAGTCGTAATCGTCGGACCCGCGGGATTCTACGGATTGCGTGAGAGAAGTGACGGAGAGGCCGCGGGCGTGGGCGTCGCGGCCGCGGGATTGGCCGGAGAAGGAGGCGGCGGAGTCGAGGAGGGGTCTGTTGTCGCTTTCGGAGGAGTTGGCTCGGAGGCGTGTGCCGTCGTGGCGCGCGACGCCTAAGTCGCCGTATGCGACAGCGCTCACGCGTCTGTCTCTCGACCGGGTCCGGGCTTGGTGCTCTGCGATGAGCATCTGGGAGACGGAGAGGTCGGCGGCTTCTTCTGCGCGGCGTCGTATATCAGCCAGGGCCTGGACGTCGCCGCGAGCGCGGGCTTCTCGTCGGGCTTGACGCCGGGCTTCGCGGTCGGTGGCTTCGATGCGGCGGGCGAGCCGGATTTGATATAGAGATTCCATTTCTTCTTCCCGTTGGCGCTCTTCTTCGTCGATGGTTTCGGGGAGTTCGAGGACCGTGTCTACGCCGCCGCGTTCGCCTTCGCGGGCTAGGACGCGCTCGTTTTCTCGTGCGGCGGACGAGTAGGCGGGGAGTGTCATGACGCTGCGGACGGATGTGTTTCGGTCGACGCCAGCACCGGTCGTGCTGTTTATTTGCCTCTCCGGATCTCCTGCTGCTGCTCCGCTCATTTCACCACTCGCCCTGCTTGTGCTCCCCCGGTACTCGGTATCCTGCAGACTGGTCGAGTAGTCATTTCGGCGCGGGCGCTTGCGGAACGCTTTCCACGAGAATAACGAGGGGAGTTTGTCGGCGGACGACTGTTGTGCTTTCTTTGCGGCGCGGTACGGGGCGCGGAACTTGAGGGTGGAGAAGTATGTGATTATGAGGATGGCGAAGATGGCGACGGCGATGATTCCGACCTGGGGAATGCAGGGTTAGCCAGTGCGTGGTAGAGTATGGTAGAGCGATGGCGTAAACTTACTACGACAAAGGTCCTGCCCTGCTTGGAGACTTCTCTCCTCTCGAGGGCGCCGTCCCTTGCATGCCGCGCGGGTAACAACATGGCACCCAAACAACCATGCACCGGGCCCGTCCAAACGTCAAATGCGTCAACCAGAGCCTGTCACCGGAGTCTTGTTTTCACAATGAGATCACTTGTTTGGAGAAGTGTGGATCGCCCAGGCTGCCAAAGGCCCGCCTTCTTGGTTCTGTTTGGCACTAGGGAGCTGTCGAACCGTTGTGTCGTGCGAAGGTTAAGGCAAAACGTTAAGAACAAGCGGCGGGAAGCGATGTCGTGGATGCGGTTAGGATATTGGGGGTTAATGGGTGTATAATTTGGCGACTACGGAATGGCCGAACAACAATGGGGGAGAGCCGCGAGTAATGGTCTGGCTAGGTCTGCGCCCGGAAGTTGGTCTTGGCAACCTGGCTGAGTGTTGATGCGGTTGCCGGGATGATGGAGCTGTGACCAGGGGCTGTGGCACGACGAAAGAAGAAGAATGCAGTATGTACAGTGTATGTACAGTGCATGCAGTACAGTGGCATTCCAACGATTCAATTCTATTCCATCTCAACAGTTATGCAAGATGACAACCAGCCAGCGGCAGACGCCAAAAGCAAGCCTCATGTCATCTCCAAAACCTGCTGCTATTCTTAGTGCGCCATCTCCCAGATTCAAGGTCCCCACTAGCGCCGGCTCCTGATTGGCGCATTCTACTGCAGGATGATCGCATTCACATGTTTGATCTACAGCGCCGTGGCACAGAGCCACAGACAGACAAACGGCGGTCGCAATAACGGTCGTGAACAAAATTTCGAAAATGGTTATACAGTATATTTTTTCGAGTACATGATTTTTGAATGATGTCGACGCTGGC